CTTTGATGATGATCTCTCTCGTTGATTAGTTTTCATAGCTTTCTAATCTCTCTCATAACTTTCATTCTCTCAAACTCAAAACACTCGAAAGATCTTTACACTAGCTTTTAGCGTAGTGCATCATTCTACACAATATGATGGTGAAGATTCGAATGCAACAAGAGGATCGCGATTGTGCCGAATATTATGACCTACTTCCTGATGAAGAGGACAACGAGCATGATGGAGAACAAGAGGAGCAAGGAGAAGAAGAGCAGGAATTACGAGAGGAAGAAGAACAGCAGCAGAATGACTCTGATGCCGAGGAAGACGCAGCCGCTGCTGCTCGACAAGAGGAGATTCGGCGATTGGATCATCAAGAAAACAGGCAACGTACCGTTCGAGCACAGTGGCCTATGGTTGGAGGAGAACGCTCTACAGAGATCAGAGAGGCCTTGGAGGAAAGTTTCGAACAGTCGCAAGAGAGGTGGGATGAGCTGTACAACTCTGCCAACCACTACAGGCTTCGATTCGCCATTGTTGACATTATGAAAGTTTAGGTAGCACGTAGCACGTAATCTCTTGTTAGTAAAGTTCGAATTATTTGGTTTACTTCCTACTTTGTCTTTCTTTCCACCATTCTTCCTTTCCACCATCATGTCAATTGCTGTCTGAAGAGTCGCCCTCTTCCGCCATGTACTTTCGGTGAGCGTTGCTTCTGATTGGTGATACCACCTCTCTCTGAATAAGAGCGGTAATGAGAGTTCAGCACATGACCATATTCGTCAACAAACTTCCTTTTTCCAGTAGCATTATCGCAGTCTTGATCAGAATCTTGAGTACAGTACTCATTGACCCTGCGCTTGGCAAAGCAATTGGTTTTAGGACGGCTGTCGCCAGGGCTGTCATCGGGCAATCCAGATGCCGACTCTTCGTCATATTCGCTGCCATCCTCTTTGTCATCTCCTTTGTCATCATCCAATGCAATGATGGTAGCGTTGTCGGGGATACCCTGCTTCTTCTTGGGTGATTGAAGTGTTTGGCGAGGAGTTTCCTTTGCGAGCGCGTTTCGCTGATTCTTCATTTCCAGCATCTTCAACTTAAACTTCTCTTTCACGTAAGCTTGACGAGAGTTTGGTGATAGCATTTCCATAAACTTTAAGTCATTCTGCTCTTTCATGGCATCGGACATGGCTTTTCGAACCAGCAGGATCAATGGTTAAATGACATTGGACAACTCGATTTTAGGAACATCATTGGCGGTACTTACTGGAGACCATTTTATCCATGGAAGTGCCGACTTGTTGCATGGAAGCACCAACTGCCTTGAACATGTCATCTTTCGCTTTGGCTTTCTTATCGCTCTCTTCCTCCTTGGTCTTCTCGCTGGTACCAACCAGCTGCTCAAGCAAGGCACGATCTTTTGCAAGTTGCTTGGACCTCTTGGTCCCAGTAGGCCGCTCCTTCTTTTCTTTCTCAATTGGATTGCCCTCATCGTCAAGGCCTTGTTTGCGACGTTCCCAAACTGTCCATTTCTGGTGGCCATCCAGAATCTGCTTGCATTGATAGACATTCTCCACAATAGAAGCATCTTGCTTGTACCGAGTACAGAATGTCTTGAAGCACAGTTTCTTGTACTCCTCACCTCCTGTGTCGCCCGAAAGTTGTGGTTGAGTGGCCTCGATACCCGAGAATTTCAACACCAATCTTGACAGCCTTTTGAACCGATTAAAGACAGATTTAGCCGTTCTGGTGGTAAAGTGAGTACCCATTATGGCATTGTGATCCTTGATAAGCTTACAGTAAATAACATGGACCTTCTTCTTGAAGTCTGCGCTCTTCATGTAGGTGCCAACCTCCCCATCTTCACTGGCACGAAGGAAGGCTTTACAAGCCTCCAAGTCTTCTACAATTTTGAAATTGGCTCCTTTGGTTGCTTTTACAGCAGCCGCTGCTTCTTGGGAAGCCATCTTTGGTGAAGGCCCTTTGCAACTGATTCTTGTTGCCAACAATACAATGGCTTTGGGAGCTTCTTTGACGAGAAACATGTATTTCTCACAAGTTTCGCAACAGATATCTTTCTATTTTGTACCGGTACATGTAGGATTCTACTTGCATTGGAGAGGTTTTGCTGGTGGCGGACAGACGTTTGCGTCGCCTATGATTCTGCCGCAAGCAGCTCCCAGTTTGGTGCAAAAGTAGTTGGACGCAAACGGTCGACTCCAAGTGGTGACGTAAACTTTGCTTTGGTGCATGCTCGCGTCATCGGCTGGAGAGCCAATGAGGCAAGTGACGTCACTTGCTTCCACCTTGCTTGCTTTGCGTCCGACTAGCGCGCATGCTCTAATTAGCTAATTGGTTAGTCCCGCAAAATCAGGGACTCAATTGTTTTGCACCATTTTGGATCCTGCGACCGGTGTCAGGGTGACATCTTCTGTTGTTGTCCTTTGGTTCCCAGTAAGCGGCTCCACCATGGCTACCGGTATAGAGGAATGGAAAGAAAAGAGCAGCGATGCCTGGATCGATTTCTGCGACAAAGTAGAGAGCAAGGGAGGCCCTGTCGGAGAATTTGTCTCGCGGAACATTTTGAAGCGAATCGTCGTCAACGCCCCTGTCCTCTTGGGCTTTGTCCTGATCTGTACACTGGTCCATGTGTGCTCCGTAATCTATCCCGGCCTTCGGCCCATTCTGGGCGTTGATGAACGGTTCACGGAGTACTGGAACCCATTTTCGTACCTCAGTCTGTTTACACATGTCGTGGCGCACGAGAACTGGCCTCATCTTCAAGGCAACATGGTTCATCTTTTGCTGGTTGGTCCATCCGTGGAAGCCTCATTTGGCTCCAAGAACTTGTTCTATATCATTGTCTTGGTGGCCTTTAGTAGTGCTCTGGTTCATCTGTTTGTTGGCAAGGCACACACTTACCAACTGGGCGCTTCGGGTGTGGTATTTGCCTGCATTCTACTGAGTTCGCTGGTGACAGCCTCAACCGGGACCTTGCCCTTGTCCTTTTTGATTGTAGCCACTTGGTGGTTGGGTGATGAATTCTGGAAGTTCTTCTTCTCAGGAGACGCCGTCTCTCATCATGCGCATTTATCAGGTGGAATCGTCGGAACAATTGCTGGCTACTACATCCACAAGAAACGAGCGGAACAGGCGGCCAAAGGGGTTGCCAGCAAGTGGTTATCAGGCTTTCGGGCAGCCAAGAAGAAAGAGTAGATGCTACGCCGAAATGAAACCAAACGACACTAAATACAAAGGAAATCATCCAGACCTTGCTTTAGGATTCTTTTACATGTTGCTTCTGTTGCGTTCTAGTCTTTTTTATCTTGGCTGAGCAAACCCAGCCGTCGACAAAAGAAGCATCGATGCTACGGTATAGACGACCCAGTGCTCAATTTCTCCCACAGCAACATAGTCCGTTTTTTGCTGCATGGGTTGATCCATTGTGGGAAAGTTCAGTTGCTTCTG